TATATATATATATATATATTAAACTATTACTATCTTTGATTAAATGTAAAATAAATAAAAAACCTTTATGCATTTTAAAAGAATGTTATGTTATGATTAGCATTATCCTGAGTCGGAATTTATTTCCTGATAGTTTTTTTTTTATATAGGATTTTATTTAAGAAAAGATATTAGTGAAGAGAGGAAAAAAGCTTATGAAACAGCAAATCACTATCATTTCTTACATTCACTTGCATTATTAACAGTACCTCTTACAAAAAGACCATTAATGGTAAGATTTATAATTATATAATTTAAAATCTAAAGTATTTTTATTTTTTTAAAAATTCAAATACCTGATTTTAAAATCTTTATTTAACAATAATAATTTATTGTCAACATAAGTAAGATAGGTATTACATTATTTCTAATACATCTCGATGAGGAAAAATAAAATTCCCATCACATAGAAATCACAAATACACAATATGATATGAAAACAATTTTTTTTTTTTGATATTTCAATTTTGTTTAAATTTGCTTTTATTATGAACTTATCATATAGGAACTTTACAAGCAAATGGTAAAAAATAGACCTTATTAATTACAGAACATGCAATTTGGGGGTTACACCCCTAATCAGTTCTGATTTACAAATATGTGGTAATATAAATATTATAACATTATGCAATGTTTTACAATATTTAATCTTTTCTATAAAACATATTGCAAATAATAATCACCTGATAGATTTGAAGATTTTTGTTATAGCTTTTATACAGTATGAAATTAACATATTCAATCTAAAATTTAACAATTAACAACTAAAATATTATAAAAATTATTCAGATGTTTTATGTAAAAAGTTACTTAAAATAAATTTAAAATATATTAAAAGTGTGTTGTGTTTCTTTTATAATTATTATTGCTTCACTACAAAGCAACTAACTTTGAAGGGAAAATACAACTATACTAGATGGATCCTGTTGTATTTATAACTTTACTTGTATATTAGAGATTGCCAGATGTCATTGATTTTTTTTCCTGTATTTAAATTTATTGTACTGTATGAACAAACTTTTGTGATTTGTAAGTGTTTATGTAAAAATCTTTTAATATTGTTATTTTCTTTTTAATTAATTTTTGATTAATATTTCATAACCTATTTTGGGAATTGTGCCCTGCACTGTTTACCTATAAAAGTTCAGTTATTCAAGTCTTTAGTAGTCTTTTAGTTTCTCCTACATAATAACATTTTAGTATACAATTGCAATACATTTTATAGAAATGATTAAATAATGTAAAACATTGTGTAATGTTGTAATATTTATATTACCAGATATTTGTAAATCAGAACTAATAAGGGGCATACATGCATATGGTAAAAAATAGACTATTAACTACTTTTCAGGTGTTAAAGTTACTGTATGTTAAGTTTATAATAAAAGCAAATTTATGGTAAATCAAAATATTGAAAATGATAGAAGCTATAGAAACAATAACTATTTTTTAAGCAAAACAGAAGTGTTTTCAAATTTGATAAATAGCTACCTATCAAAAAATTTTCAAATGAAATAAAATATCTGATTTTGGCAAAGATTACTATAAATTTTGTATGGTAAACAAACTTTATCAGAAAGATTGCATTAAAAAAGTATTAAAATTTCCATGACAATGATTTAACTATGATTAATAATTTTCTATCTTATCAAATATTTAAGAAATTTCAAATTTTTATCACAGTTAATAAATTCATCACATTGACTGAAACTATTGGGAATCTTATGAAAAAGATTAAATGAATTATTATATTTAATAGGAAAAGATACCATTCATAATCTTTCAAACACAAAATTTTGTCATAATCAAATTCAAAGAAACTTTAATTAATGTAATAATTAGCCTATCATGACAAAGACTGATTTATTTATTTTTTTCTGTGCTGATAATGATATAACTATTCTCTGTTAAAAATAATTTCATTTAAAAATTAAAAATATAAACAATTTATAATTTTTATTTTTAATAGGTTGGAACCTTGCTTACTGCTGGAATGAGCATTTTTTGTGGAAGCTGCTATATTTATGCATTAACAGATAGTACACATGTTAGACGGTTTGCACCATATGGAGGAACTTTATTAATTTTAGCATGGTTATCAATGATTCTTTAATTGCTTTTAGGTGGCATACTTAGTTATTAAATTAATGGAGGAATTTAATCTTTCTATTTTTCATTATACAAAAAGTGACTTATGTGATCAGCTTTATAGTTTTCAAATCAAATAGGAGATATTAAAATATCTATTTAATACTGTAATGAATTTGATGATTTACTGTTGTATAAAACTAATAGAGAAATGATGTAACAATAACTCTTTTTTAAACTTTTTATAAATAATTTAAACTCAGTCACAAGATCACATGACCTCTGACAAACATAACTATAACTATTATTGGAAGAAGCAGAGCATGTCTGATTTTTAATACAAGTTTTTACTTCCAAAAGCATCTTATCTTTCGGGATTTTCCTCTTTTCTTTTTAATCAGGTGAATAAAAATAGATAAAGAAAATATTTTAAAAGTTTGTACAAAGTTTCTCGTCTCTTAGGTTCTATAAAAGGAGCATATAAAACCTGGCCATCTAATGCTAGAGAAAGCTTGAATCAGTCATAAAAAAAAAAAAGGGAAGGAACCTATTCTAAAGCAATGCTCCTCTCTGAAAGTAGCAGAAGCCGGGAAATTTAAGCTGTCTTTCCTTTTAGCATGCCACGTCTAAGGCTAGGCTAGCTTTATCACAGTGCTAGAACAGCCAACTATGAAACATGGTATTCTAAAACTGTTTAAACATGGTAGCAGAGCTGAAAAGTGAAAACATTTTTTATAAATTCTTTCTGAAAGATTTATATCAAATCTTAACAGAAAATAAGGGCAATATTGATTTTATCATAATATAAAAGAGATACTGTAATATTTTTGACTGTTTTCAAAAAAATAATTTTCAAGAATAGTTTTAACATTGTTTTACAGTCAATATTTAGATTATTTTCAATGAATTTGTATAAGACATACCCGTATATGAGCTGTTCACTTGCCGAATTGGTTAACTCCATAAAAGTGGAGAAAAGTGACAAAGTAATATACATTCATTTTTAAAATTCCTTGTAAAATATAAATTCAAATAAACATTGTAGATGTATCTTTTATTTAACGAATATAAAATGTATAAGATAGCACAGACATGCTATAATTGTTATTATTATTACGATTTTGGTGTGATTGACAGAGTTAATCAATTTGGCAAGTGAAAAACATAGTAACATTAAATTCTCTTTACATTAGCATACCTTTTTTATTAAAAATTTTTCACAAAAATGAATAATAACTGTTCTGTTACTTTGCATAACTTCAATCACTTTTTAACTTTATGGTAATTTTTTAATAATCTATTTATGATGTCTTAAGAAGACTTTTTAAGAAGACAAGCTAATTGACTGTTACTTCTGAATTGATCTGTGAAAAGGAAATGAAATAGACTCAAAAATTATATATTTTTATATGTCTCTATAGCTTGTTCTGTTACAGTGGTTGTTATTTATTATTTTGTTTGAATTGATTATTCAGCAACATAAATCCTCAGCTGTATTTGACGTCAGCTCATCATGTCGATTTGTTCTTAAATTTTTATAAGAATCATGTTTAATAGGAGGAATGAAAAAAATTATTTTCAATTTTATCCATCTTGATATAACAGGTGTAACTTTTTCTAAAAACAATTGTCACCAAAATTAAAACAATCGTTCAATATTCCACAAGTATACTTCTGCAGCAGTTGGACTGTAACTAATTAATTTCTTTTACTTAGATTTGTGATGAGATAACAATAAATTATTTAATGTTATCTATAAAGCACTGGTCAGCACACACTGCAGCATTGCAATTGCAGTGTGTGCTGGCAGATTAATGTTACAGTATGGAGTTAATTAGATTGGCTTCTGAAATAAAATTTTTTTTCCATTGTTAATAAAATTTTGTCATTAAGTGGTTTTGATTCTTATTATTAGGGAAACTTATTATGAATATAAAAAGTTACAAGTATATCAAATGCTTTCACACTAAAATTTTAAAAAATTCAAAATGTGGAGTTAATCGATTTGGCTTTGAATGGCTCATATAATAGACTTATTCATTTTATCTCTCAGAAATTACAATTGTTTTTCAGATAAAATTAAAGGGATAAATCTTATATAAATTATGTTTAATTCTAAAAAAACTATATGATTTAAATTAAATCATTTATAATATATAAGAAGAATTATTTGTAAATGCTTATTGAAATATTTTATATATGGAACCTTGGAATATACAATACTATTTTTAGATAAATGATTTTCTGTTGAACAGTTTGCATTTTATTCCAAACAACTAGCAAAACTAAATCAGTACAATTAAAAAATTGCTGTTTTTGATATTTTTTTTCTTGTCAAATATTTATATTAATATATAATCACATTGAATCCTCCCAACGCATCTCTTAAACACCCAACCCAGGAAAACACTCCTTAAGCTAATGTTTAATCTAGGCACACTAGAAGCTATAATTAAATTTACACAGAAGAAAACAGTTGATTTAAAGTTGTTTGTAAACATTATTGCCATATTGTAAACATTATTGTCATGTTATGAACCAAAACATTGAAGTTAAAATCTTTCTAAGAGGTAATAAGTAGATAATAATTGTGAGAAATGGAAGAAGCACTCTAGCCTGATGAAATAGAGTCTGTCTCCTCAAAGTGAGCTACCAACCTTCTCTCAAAGGCGTTTCAGATTTCTAACCTTTCAAGTTGTTTCAGCCGAGGCACTATTTTCTTTCGATGGCGTCTTTTTCATTTCTAAGCAGTGAGGAAATTGTAGAATTCTTCTAAATCTACAATTTCCTTAGAATTCTGTGCTTACTATATTGGGCTATCTCCTTATAGAAGGAACAGAGGATCTTCTCGTAGGTCACTACCACCACACCGTATGATAGAACTGCCTGGGCTGAATATTCGGAAAGGATAGATATCTACAAATTGTTTGGGATAAGGACGGAATGAATACAGATTTTTACATCTCGAATGTTTTTGAATATATATTTTTTTTTTTGTTTTGAATAATTTGACTAATTTTGTCACTGCCCTTCTATTGGTTTCAAGTTATTTATGACTATTATAGCTTTGATAACATAATTTGGTCTTAACAGAAAAATTCATCACAAGACAATTATTGATGCTTAATGGGTGAAATTTCATTTAATCCATGCAAGATGTGTGATTACCAGAGCCCCTTCGGCCGCCCAATTTAAAGCGCTTTAATCTTTAAAATTGGCGTTTCTACTTCCCAGGACGAGGACCCAGGGGTTGGATTTGTGGGAAGCAAGTGTTCGGGTTGTTTCATTGTGTCGAATTATACAGAATGAGGTGCTTGACGGGTAAGTGCGTGAGTGTGAGAATTCGAGTAAAGGTTAAATGGTGTATATAGCTTCATGTACAGTGATGATGTGTCCGTGCGCGTGTATGTGTCTGATCAAAGAATACTTCAGCATGTCTATAAACAGAAAAACAGTAAATTACGATACGAGAATAAGATGTGTTAAAAAATGAAACGAAAGAGTTCTTACCATTGGAGATTTCGGGAAATATTCACTTGTACAATAAATGGCCTCTTCATCCTCTTGGTTGTAAAGTTGGGGAGGGAGAATCTCCCTCCCAAATGTTCCTACAAAACACAAAGACAGTGAGAAAAGGAGAAGTTGATTCCTTTATTATCTACGGTCAACATTATTACCTTTATCAGACAGTCTTTCTTCCCGAACAGTGTTATGAGAAGAGTGAAGGACCTGACCTAGCCTAGCCTTGCCTAGCCTAACCTAACCTACCATAATGGGAAGCTCAATCCTCATAACATCTGTTTGGGAAGAAAGGTCGCCAAATGTCGCGTCTGGGTGGTCACAATCGGAAGCCAAATCCATTGTCGTCGATCGAGTGTCACGTTTGGCAGACAAGTCCATAAGGTGAGACCATCTGGGTAAGAGAAGGCCACGTCTGAGTAAAGGTGTCATGTCCGGGTGCAAAAGACGAGTTGGGGAAAATTGAAGAGGATCACCGCCTAGGCCAAGGGAACCGCAGCCTCCCACAGCAACAAAACCGCAGTTCCTCGACTTCGGCGGCACTCTCCTCCGAATCTTCCCCGCTCCGACTTCCAAAAGACAATTGCGACGTGGTCGCGAGCACAGACAAAGAGGCAGACTATGCGAAAATAGACAAACTCCAAGAGGACTCGTCACTCCCTATGCCTTCCTTAACAAGGCCTAGGGCCGGCTGATCCCTGACGACCTTGGCCAAGTGAAATGGATTCAGAACTCTCCTGTCTCCAGGAGAATCCCACGCCACACGCACCGGGGGAAGGTCGTCACCACCCACTGCCTCTCGCTCGACGGTCTCAACTGACACCGAACTAATCGATTCGACAGAGACCCAGTCGAGCACACGGTCCTCGAACGTCTCATCGGAGCCGTCCGAGGAGATCCCTCCCTCGGGCGCCACCGCATTCTTCCGTCGGAACCTCCGGCGAAACCACTCCAACATCTTCATTCTGAAAAAAAGAAAATTTGCAATTAGTCGATAAAAACAAAAGCTTAAATTAATGTCTAAATTCTTCCGAGAAAAGCAAAATGCTCACCGCAGCTGCCTTTTTAAATCTAAAAGATTTGAATCCGAAGTGCAAGCGGTCGACCATCGAACGATGTCTTCTGGGACCGATTCTCCAAGTAATATTAAATAAATTCTTACGTCTAGGGTCAATATGGACTAAGACTTACCTGAAAAATCTTCAATCTCCTCTGCAAAAGTCCGCAAACCGCAAAAAAAAGCAATGCAATCGAAGAGCACAACAAAAGCACGTCGACCACAAACACAATCGAACTGAGAATCGTCATCTGTGACGAATTTCGAACAAACGTTAAAAGACACGTCAACAATGTTCAAATCACGTAAAAGTTTGAATTAAAAAAAGGCAATTTTATCTTTTTTTTTAATTAATTTTGTTTTTAAATTTTGCTTCAATCATTTTCTTGTGTTCGGAATTTGATAAATAAATTATCTTCTGCATTTACATGGTACAGAATGTCCACCGTGGAGAGGTAAAAGACGATCTTCTTAAATTCTACGTTTCAATGCTTCGAAAATTGGCCGAAATTCGTTTGAAAAAATATTTTTCGTCCATCGCACGAATAAATCAAATTCTTAGGATTTCGATATTATTTAGCTTTTCGGAAAGATT